AGGGTGCCGAACGCTATCGTCGCCATCTCGTGTAGGGCGTCAGCCATCTGTAAACAATGAATCAATGAATCACAAAGAACACAATGTTATTGAGTCAGCTACCTCTTCGGAGCGCCAGGGGGCGTCTAGCACTTCCAGGAAGTCGATTTTATCCAGCGCAGCGTCTGAGATATCGCCGTAGCCTTTCTTGAATGCCATTCTCGTCTTCCAGGCCGCGAAGCCGCGGGTGTCCCCGTCTTCCGGTCCCGAAGCCTCGTCCGACATAAGCTGCTCGTGAAGGAGCTCTTTTAGGTCCTCAGGTCGCAAATTGTATTTCGCTGCCAACAAGTCTACGGCCTTCCCGAGTTGCTTTGTTTTCTGTGGAATACAGTGAATGAATGCTTTAGTACAATATAAGGAATATTTACAGTGATACGTCGCTCCCGCATCCGATTCGTTTTCTGATTAGCGGTGTTGGCCTGAGCTATGGTCTCGTCCATCTGCCGGCGCCATTGAGCCTTGCAGGATCGCCAGGAGGTTTTGGTCATCTCAATAAGCACTTTATCGTCCCAGTATACTTCGAACCCGTCAATAGCAAGTCCGGCGGGGTAGAATTCAGGCCCCTGGAATATCAGTGAGGAACGGTTGTAAAGGATAAGCGAAGATAAATATGCTTGCGTGTCTGAGCTGTTCGCGAACTTGCGCCGCCACTACTTTGCACACCTTATCATTGACGAAGTGCGAGACCGTGAATTCAAACGCGGGGTTGACAAATGCTTCGTTCGTCGTTGGATTGAATCGTGGGACAGTAAAGTCGGGGTAGACCTTTCCCGAAACACCAATAACAACGCGAAAGGTGCGAGAGATCTCGTCCTACAACAATTTAAAAAGACTGTACATGCAGTTCAATCAACTACTCACCTGCAGGGCGCTCCTGGCGACTTTGAACGCGGGATCCAGATCCTTGACAGCACCCCCAAGGTAAGCGCGCGGTTTGTTCAACGTGTCGCCGGTAGGGTGGTGAGAGTTAACGCCAGTGTTGTGAGAGCCGGTGTCACGAGCTGAGCCGTCGTCAGAGCCGCTGTCAGGAAGCGGAATCTCTTCGGCTGCAGCGTCATCGAGCTCGGGACGTCTATCCCCTCGCGCGAGGCGCCGGGTTTCCTTCTTCTTCTGCAGCAGGAAAGACCCACGAGAAGCTACGCCACCACGATTGAGCGACGACGAACGAGGTTCCTGGGCCACAATTGCCTCAAGTTCCACGGTACGCTGCGTCAGGAATCGATTCTGCTCCTCGAGCCGGTCCTGCTTCAGCGCCATTTCCGCGAGGATGTCGGCTAAGTCAGTCGGATTCTCTATAGCTCGAGAAGATGGAACACGGTGTTGAGGACCACTGGTTCCGACAGCGTTCGACGAGTAGGAACGAGCAGTGGCCCTGATACAACATCAGTAAGTTGGGCGGATAAATATCCAGGTGTGGCATTGCCGACGTACTGAGGTGGGGGCCCGCGCCCGACTGCACCATAGTGACGACGGTGACTCTCCGCTTGGAATTGCAGACTGAAAAACTGTTGAACACAACAACGTCCAAGTGAAACATGTAAATTACCTGGCTTCAGTCTCGTGAGGAGGGCCGGACGCATTAAAAGACTGCGCGCGAGTCATGTAGCCGGATCTAATGGACCTCAGAGGAATAATCAAAACAAACAATCTGAGACGTACTGAGGTAGAGAAGGAATATCGTGCCCCCCACCTCTGTACTGGCTCTCCTGGTCGCCGGCTTTGTATTGAGCAAAGCTGTCAAGCAGTTAGCAGGAAAACATGACGGTCAAAGAATGACTACCTGTCTCGGTCCTGAGTACGCTGAGCAGGCGCATAATCATCTTGAGAATTTAGATAACTATAAGAGTGCGATCGGCTGCGCTGGTCGCCGCCTCGATGCATTGTACGACGAGAGTTCGGAGGGCAAAGTGGGCGTCGAAAGAAAGACAAATCGTGCCAGATGTCGCGAGCAGAGAATACCATGACACCATGTCCCTGTATCCACACGGAACTTTTCATCAGCGTACGGTAGCGAAACTTGAGCTTAAACCTGATGATCCCGGAATAAAAGGATATTCGATTGATCTCAAGTACTGACGGCACGCGCCTCCGTCCGAAGCGACAATGGAGGCCTAGACTTGGCTCTGTGCACCTGAGTCTAGGAATGTACACACACCTACGCTCACCTGGGTGACCTGCGCTGATCTGAGTTTAGACAACGGCGATGACGCGTCACGACCTAAGATTAGATTAAGCGTAGTCGGCTAGACAGGGGGCTGTGTAGTGATCTACGCTGACCTATCATCACCTGGCCACACCGGCGATGACCTGCACGATCTAGACTCAGTCTAAGATTAGGGGGGGTCGGAACGCAGTGTGTCTGACCTTGCAAGTCGATAACAGAATTACTGGCGCTTCGCTTATGGATACGGAACCATTTATATCTAGCTACAGGCTCTGCCGCAGTTATGACTTCGTGTGTGTATATGATGCTGACGCTGCTTCTGAATACATGGCCCATACATCGGAGATTCTTGTTGCATGCCGCCATCCAAAGGACATTGTCAAATCATTTCATTTCTTCAAAAAAGCAGACCTGTCTGCTATATGCGCATTTATGAACATAAGATACTCAGGACGAAAAACCAACAATAATTTCGCGCAAAATGCTTGAAACACTCACCAATCCACCGAAGGTTAAAACTGGACACGTGAGGCTTATTCAGGTAACGGGACAGTCGTCTATATCTGGATTCGTTAATATCGACCTGTTTGAAGTTGAACGTGGAAGCGTACGTGGTTAGCGGGATGTCGACTCCATTCATTCTGGGTAATGATTTCGCCGATCAGTATTCCATATCTATCGTGCGCAACGAAGGAAACACTTACCTGCATTTCGGAAGCTCTGGACGACAGTTGAAAGTTGAGTCTTCAACATCATCAACGTTGCTCGACGATGAAGATCATGCATTCAAAGTCAAGGTGCAGGCTGAAGTTAAGCAGCATGGTCAGTCCAAAGGCATTCACCGTTGCAATCAGAAATTGAAGCGACGGGCTGACCTCAAACAAAGAAACGCAGAGGTCTGGGCAATTGAACGCACCGTTATTCCTCCGGAGTCCAGCAAACTTGTACCGGTAGAAGCTTATTTTCTTAAAAATCAAGATTCAATTTTTGTGGAAAGGAAGATAGCATCCAACGGCAACGAGAATGATTCTACGGCGCCGCCGATACCCTTGTCTCGAAGGACAAGCCTCTTCTCCATGTGGCTAACTTTTCCAAATGCCTGTAGTTATCTCGGCGGGCCAAGTTCTTGGTACAGCTCGGAACCCGCGCACTTGGCTAGACAAGTTGAATAAGTTCAGTAAAGAGCAGCAGCAGAGAATCAATGCTCATGCTCACTTATTCCGTACTCTTGTTGCTGAGCAGCACGGCGAAACGGAAGTGGTGGACGGAAGCAAGGATGACCGGTCCGATCATGCGGGATCTGCAGAGGCTGTGCCTGTCAAACTCAACTCTTCTGTTACCTCCACCGTCCGCTCGGAGACGAAGATTGCCTCGAAGGCTCAGAGGAACGAGACTGAACCTGATGATCCTCTAGCTGTAGAGGAACCTCTGGAGGGTGGTCCTAAAACTGCTGAAACACCTGGGGATCCAGTAAGCTCAGATCGTTTATTGAATGAAATTGACATTTCCCCAGAGGGTAACAGCAGAACAGCTCAAAATGACGGGAATGACCAGGGCCATCCATTGCCGGTGCACACGCCTCAGAAAATGGCTCTGGGACTGTGCTGGAATTGAAAGCATTCGAAAATGTAAAGGGATGCAATATCGTCACACCTTTCAAAATGTAAAGGAATGCAATAGGGTCACACCTTCAAAATGGAAAGGAAGTCAATCAGGTCACGAGTTTCAAAATGTAAAGCACTGATTGGCCGCTGGAGAGGTCAATATTGCGTCCAAGCAGGATCTGAATGGCTCAAAATGACCGGTTCAAAATTGTAACGGTGCGCTCTCGCACTCATTATATTTCTTTCTTTCTATCTACATACACAACTTCTTTCCTAACGTCACGTATTTCAAAATGTAAAGGAATTCGATCAGGTCAGGCGTTTCAGAATTCAAGTGCTGCCGAACTTAAGTTCTGTCCTGCATGCAGTCCCCCTGTATATGCGAGGACCACACCCCCTGGAACTTAAGTCCCGTACCACTTAAGTTCCGCAACACTTAAGTCCCCAAGTACTTACAGCTTTTTGCGGAACTTAGGGCGGGGACGGTTTTTTTCCATTTTCGACAATTTTCATGAGGAACGCCGCCACAAGCTCAAATTTGATCAGATTTCCTTGAAATTAGGCACGTTAGAATCGTATTCAAAATCCGCAGTCAACGCAATACCGGTATTTTTGATGCCATCAAAAAATGAAATTTCTACCGTAAAATCTCTGTCTTCCGCAAGTCACCTGTAGCATTCTGAGTACTGCTCAGATTAACCTAGTTTTTGGAAATGTTATACCTATACATGTAACCTGGTCAACCATAATGATTCTACATGTAGTCATACCCAAATCTGCTTTGAGTGCTCTATTTTCTAAAGGAGGGGGATGACCGTTTCAACAAGGTGCCCAATGAATTACAGTGACTTCAAATATTATCAATCCAAAGTTCACGTTGACTAGCGTAAATCTATAGGTATAACATATCCAAAATCTAGGTCAATCCGAGCAGTACTCCAAGTGCTACAGGTGACTTGCGGAAGACAGAGATTTTACGGTAGAAATTTCATTTTTTGATGGCATCAAAAATACCGGTATTGCGTTGACTGCGGATTTTGAATACGATTCTAACGTGCCTAATTTCAAGGAAATCTGATCAAATTTGAGCTTGTGGCGGCGTTCCTCATGAAAATTGTCGAAAATGGAAAAAAAACCGTCCCCGCCCTAAGTTCCGCACAAAGCTGTAAGTCCTGTCCAAACACCAAAAACAAATCCACCCAAGGGATTCGAACACCAGACCTCTAAATTTTTCACCGGCAGAAGGTAAAGGCATTAACCACTAGACCAGGAAGGATATAGAGTCTTGTTCACACAGATACAATATTAGCCTTGTAATGGCCTAAACATTCTCCTCTTTATTTATTTTGCCTCTTCAGGTCCTGTGGCCAGGGAAGTCATAGTCTTATAGCAATCATGCCCCAAAGATGATTCAGACATTGATCTGTTTCAATAAATTACTCTATATTAAAAAGATGATGAAAGATGACTGGAAATGACAAGTGAGTTAGTACATATGCAATTTACCATGGTAGAAAGAGGGCATGGATGAACTCTAATGACAGTCTGATTGAGAGCTCTACATATGGTCTTTCTGGTGTAGTGGTTAAGTCCTCTTCTCTTCTGCCAAAAGTCAGAAGGTCTGCTGTTCAAATCTCTGAGGGGCCTTTTGTTTTTGTGTTTGATATAATCCTTGTTGCAATCACTTGAGTTCTCTATCACTCAAGTCCTCTGGTGGTCTAGACCGCCTGGAACTTAAGATGAGCTAATAAAGTATCTGAAAATGACCGGTTCAAAATCGTAACGGTGCGCTCTCGTGCTCATTATATTTCTTTCTATCTATCTACGTAGATACTTCCAGACGGCGATATCCAGTAACAGTGCTAAGATAGCCAGGAATGAAGAGTTCTTGGCCTTCCTGAACTTTTAAGTTGCTCTTTGTTTACAAAATGATCGGAGGTGCCATTACTTTTGCAAACTGCTGTAAGTGCGAGCCAATAATATGGTCACCCTCTTTATAAAATTAAGCATGTCTGTCCGTCTGAAGCCTTTAAACTCTGCTGATAAATTATGGTTCAGCAATTGATTCCCGAGCACTGTTTGTTACAACCGTTGACGGGCACTGCCTCACTGACAGGTGTCACTCAAATATAAGGAATTCGCTCGATGTGATAACTAAGTATTTTGTGTCGGTGAACAATTACATCCTCCTCAACCGAAGTGGGGGACCGCGAAGCGGTTCCCCGCGCTCTTGTGATTCTTAAACATGACTGGAGAGTCAACATTATTTGTCAAACATTTGATTCCATTGGACATGATCTTGCTGATATTAGGTGTATGCACCTTACTGTCGTGTGTTATGTATTTTAATTATATAGAGCCGCCTAGACCTGCCGGCTTGAGCTATTCTCTTTATCGAATCGCGGTGGTAGTGGTGCCAAAAATACATGTTGGCATTAGATATCAAGCCCTGGATCGAGAAAACAACCACTTTTGTGGGCCAATCTGATTTGTTGGTCATCTACTCATTACATAATGTTTAGCTAAATCATACAACTTTTACATTCACTGCTTCCCGAAAATGGTTGCGAAGGTGGTTCCCTTGTTACTTTAATACTTACCCGGCTTGTGTGGTTTGCAAAAATTCACTCACGTTCTCGACATTGCTCTTGTTCAACAAATGCTCTGTGCGGTCTAAGTGACCTCTCAAGGCTTCGTTATCCGATGTCAACTTTTGCTAGCCAAATAAGCGAGTTGAGTTGTGGCTCCGTCGCTCGAATTCGACCCTGGGTTCGCTGAATATTGCCGGGCGCGAGGCGAACCTATCAATGCATAATAAATACCACAAGTTCAAATTTTTGAAACGAACAATTGATGTGAATAACCTCGGAGTTCTATGGTCAGCTGCCGCTATCCCGTGCTTGAGGTTTTCCGGGCCGAGTTTTGGCCAGATTTCTTATCCCTCTTTAGAAAGTGTTTCTTTTGACAATAGAAGAAGATCCTAAAGAGCGATTTCCATTCAAGTCAAAACTGAGGGAGGTAAAAAAAAATTGGCACATGAATTTGGCCACTAGAGGTGGAAATAATGAAAAATAGTGCCTATTGTGGCTGTGTCCTGGGCCAAAATTTTCTTCCGGCCGATTTGGCCACTAATTTTTGGTAGCGGCAGCTAGGTGACCTGCACCATACCCTGAGATACTATCTGGACCCAAAGCAACTGCTTTTCAGTTGTAGACAGCAAGGAGAATGAGCTGATGTCCCAAAAACCCCGATCTGCTCAAAACGACGTGAAAGCGGTGGTAACATGTTACAGTATAAGCATTATAAGCAAATGGGCTACTTATAACAGACAAAAAATCGCCATTTTACCGGTTATAAGCAGCGTGCTCAGTCATAAGCACTTTTAAGCTCAGTGGGTTGCGCAACCAAAAAAAAAAAAAAGTATATAACAAAATTACATTCAATTATCATCGGACACGACTGGCATATAGTTAGCGCATCTGTTGCCGCCGCCAGCTTGGCCCGAAAATCCTCGGCGTCTTCCTGCATGCCACCACCAAAGTTCGAACCATTGGTCTCGGGGAATACATGGTTGTCCCAGAAGAGGAACAACTCCTGAGCCCAGGACCCAAACGGAGGTCGCAGTTTGCCAGCATCACGAAGTTCGTTCTCCAAGTTCTCGCATCGGTGCTCCAATGCGGACCGAGGGGGTAGTCAGCTAGCGACATTGACCGCTGCAAGATAGACCAATCTGGCATGCGCAACTCATCTGGAACTCGCTCAAAGACCGGCGCTCCCAGGCCGTCTATTTGGAGGTGCGTTGCTTTGGGCTCGGCGACGAGAAAGGAACCTGATGATGTGCTAGCCAGGCCGACGCCGAGAAACCACATGGCGTGAATAAATCCGGGTTTGATGCAGGATCAACGGCTCGTTTCGGACTACGAAGGGCTGGATCAATGGGAATTTCAGGTCGCACGGGGACTGGGCTGGAAGGTGGGCAGGATAATGAGCCAGGGAATGTGGATGGACCTGCTTAGGGAGATGAGTCGGGGTACAAATCTTGGTGAGTGAATGTGTGGTCATGCAATGCGGCCATGACGGCACGAACGGGGCTCGTTTGGGGCAGGGGGAAGGCTCGCTCGGCTTCATCTGCTGGGCAGTGATGATGTCGCGGTTGGCCACGCCGCGCTGGTGAAGCTCTTCAAAAGTGCTGATCTCGACTTTCCCAGGCCTCTTTCATCTTCGCGAAGCAACAACATCAAGACCCTGCAGTGCATGCGTACAGTGAGGTGGGTTGCCGAGGATCTCGATCTTGTTCTCTTTACAGAACTCCAACAGATCGGCGGTGAAATCTTTAACGATGTATTCGTAGCAGATTCTTCCATCGGTCCATCCATTTTCAGATACGCAAATTCTGTTCGCAGGGTAAGTCGTGCAGCTGATATGATTGTTTGAAGACTCACGAAGCCCCAGATATATTATTATCACCCCACTTCTTCAAATGATTCTTGCCTTTGAAGATAATCGTCGGCTTTAAGGTCGTGCCGTCGCCGCAGATGGTAACCAACGCAGTGACGTTCTCGCGGTTACCGCTCCCTGATTTGTGCTGAGTCCTTGTCCCCCTGCGTCCAACAACGACCTGCCGGCCTTGATTTGATGGTGGGAAGCCGCTCTCATCCATGCCGTAGATATTGTGAGGTTTGATCCCTTTCTTCACGACCTGTTCCTCCACTAAATCAAACCAGGCCTTCACGGCATCCGGATTCAAGGAGCGTGCCCGTTCTGTTGCCAGAGGTTTGGACCAGTGAGTCTGGACTTCGTCTCGGTAACGGTCCAGAAGGCGGCCCACCCATGATTCTCCCACAGGCTCTCCGGGTGTGTCACGGCCAGCTATGATCGCATTCGCGTGGGTCTCGATGTTTTTGTACGACAGCGGCAATCCACGATCCACGGACTCGAGAATGAAGTCGACAAGAACACGTTCTTCGGCATGCGTGAGTTTTTGCTTTGACGCGTTAAACGCGCCAATTGATTGCCCTCCATTTGACCAAGTTGCTCAGAGTCTTGAAATTGACTGCGTGCTTCTCAGCGATGGGCCACAGGCCTCTTTTTTTCCCTTCTTTTTCTTGCTCCATTTTGTACTCGTCAATAGCAGCCTGAAATTTTGAATTGGTTTTCCGTCTCTGCGCCTGTGCCGCGATGAATTTTGGTCTCGGTTACGGGTCACGGCACCTAGTGCCGAATGTAAAATGCGTGACACTGGGCCAAATCTCCCTTGGAGGTGCAAAAAAGGCAGAATTTTCGTAATTTTTCGTCTTGAATGCCGAATTTTTGGAGGTGTCACGCCAAAATTCGTTGGTTGCCAAAGTGCCGAATCGGTATTTTGGGTCACGGGTCACAACCCGTGCCGAATTGAATTAAATTCTACAGTATTTGATGTAGTATACATTATGACAATGGTTCCAAATGCGAGCAAGCATATATTTGAAGTAAAGGTCACATTGAAAATCACGGTATGTCATGCCCTCCGTAGTACTCCCAAGTGCAACATATCAAAAAATTAGATCATTTGAACTATTATATCTAGCATGTGAACCATCCTACTGAGAAACAGTCAAATCTGAGCTATTAGGTCATCTCGGGGCCTAATAAAAAATCATAAGATGCCATGCCCTCCGGATTTGCAATGCCAACAAAATGAGCATATTTTCAAGGAAAACGGTTGAGAATTGATCTCAGGAGAGCCATCCGACGGAAAATCCGTTTTTTTTAAAAAAAATGGGCCGCGCCCTAAGTTCTGCAAAGAGCTGTAACACTACTGTCCCTTCCTTGACGCATCCATAACAGAATCACCGCGGCCGACGCAGATACCAATGACTTCAACTTGGTTTGTCCAACGAATGAGCCGGGAACTGATGGTGCCGCGACGCGCAAGATTCGGCGCCTGGCTTGGGGCCGTCATTGAATTTTCGGAGAGATTCACACACCATGAAGTTATTACTGTTCCATGTCGTCAGTCGCAACACACTCTCTCCGCATAGATAACTAACCCTTCACAGATATATACAGAGCGGGCTCGCTCGCCCGATACCAAAGCCTCACACTTTTTCCAAGGTACTCGTTATGGAAAAAAGTGATGGACGCTGGATTTTGAGGACGTGTATTTGTGATGGAAGGATATTTTGGTGGTTGGAACTGGATATGAGGGAGATCTACTAGGCTGGTGGAAGACTTGTAGCATATTGATGATATCAAAAAAACATTGATTTCCCATCAAAACAGGGCCAAAGTGAAAAA